GGATCTGTGTTTGATTACTCTGCCTGGCTTTCTCAAGGACCAGGATGTGACACAAAAATCTGAATTATGGAACCGAAAGTGAAAGTAGTCAAACTGAATTTTTAATAAACCAAAATACAGTTTCAAAGCAAATTAATTCAGATACAAAACTTTAAATTCAGTTTCAACTTAGTGAAATTTATTTTCAAACCAATGCATTTAATTTCAAATTAGGCACATTCAGATTCAATCTGAGCAATTCAAATTCAATTCCTGCTGGCACAAGATTTATCCCATAGAACCTTTTCTATTTTTTTTTCAATAGCCCCTCTCCGCTCATATCTTTTCATCTCCATCCATTCATTCATTTCTTTTCTTTCTTTTTGTTGTTCTAGTTTCATCTTATTTCTCTCTGCAGCAAACCGCTCTTCACTGGTCGGCGTTTTTTAACCGGCCCGAGCACGTCCGCCTTCTGATCAAGCACGACTCCAACATCGGCATCCCAGACAGCGAGGGCAAGATTCCTCTGCACTGGGCCGCGCACAGCCAGGAGGCGAGTGCCACGCAGACCGTCCGCTGCATACTGGTACATGTTGAAGAGAGCGCACGCACAGATTCACACGCTGAGCTTCGTTTGTCAACATCTGCCCCTCCTCATTTTTGATTGATTGATTGATTGATTGATTGATTGTCATTGTACGGAGCACAATGAAATTACATTTAAGAACACCCATTCAAGACACACACACATGACAAAAACATGGGGGAACAGGTGAACAGGTCATGCGGCAACCAGCAGGGGTTGCATTACCTTTAAAAAGAAAAATGAAAAAATCACACAAGGATAGATGAGGGGAAAAAAACAAAACATGATATTATATCAACAAAATGTGACGCACTATGGTGTTTATAGAAAAAAAACTCTGCAGAGCAAAAATTTATTGGCCAGAGGAGTGAGTCTAGAAGGTGTGTATCTGAAGCCATGAATGTTGTATGCACTTGTGTGAATATCTGAAGAATGAGTCTGAGGAATCCAGCGCCCCCAAAAGAAAAACCCGTAGTTCAGCCATAGTTCAGAATAATGATATTGAATTGTTCAATCTGTGCAGCTCCACATTGACCATCAAGGGATCAGATTAGATGGGGGTGAGTGGGGGTGGGGGGACCAAGCCAAGTCGACGTAAACACCAGGAGAAATTAGATCCACAGCTCTTCAAGGCCATGTGGGGTAGAGACAAATCTGTAATCAGTTGTTTGGGAACAGAGAAAATATTTTCGGTCAGGTAGACAATAATAATTTTCCATCTGCTTTAATGTCCGCTAGTACATCCCAATGTGGAGAGTCCAATCAGACAAATAGTGTGGACAATTCCGCCGAGCCGAGCTGTCAGCTTCTCCAAGATCAATTCCATCTGGCCAGCAAAGTCCAGGGACCGCAGCCGGCCCATGACCCTCAGCAGAACCGCTTGCAGACTGAGTCCCAGCTCGCACAGTGTGTGAGTGCTGATAGAACGGCAATCCTTCATATTTGTCAGGCAGCCAGGAAATGACCTGAATAGCCACCGACGCTGTTTTGCAGAACACCAGGAGACCACCAAGCCAATCTGTAGAAATCCAGTGATAAGAATCCAATATGTGCTAGTTGAACAGAGCAGAACAGAGGTCCCACCTTTGACATGACCTCCCATGGAAATGATCTTTGTGTGTTTGTGTGTGTAAAGGAAGCAGCGCCCACTGAGTCCTTGTTGAACTGGCAGGACTACGAGGGTCGGACACCCCTGCACTTTGCTGTTGCTGATGGTAACGAGGCGGTAGTGAAGGTGCTAACATCTTACGAGGGCTGTAATGTGACGGCTTACGATAACCTCTTCAGAACGCCACTGCACTGGGCGGCTCTGCTGGGTGAGTGAACACACACACGAGAAATAAAACCTGCAAAATTCCAAATACTGTGAGTCCGATCAGTGTTCCCCTCCAAACACCAACATCTTTAGCTCTTTTTTAAAGTTATTTTTGTCCTTTCTAACAGCATAGTATTGATGGTCTGTTTGTCTATAAAAACCTGTGCAGACAGTTTTAAATCCATGGAGTGTGTGGTCATGTGGTTGCTGTGTTAGCAAAATATCTTATGAACAACAGGACGGATTTTATAGAAACACTCAGGGTGTGTCTCAATTCAGGGGCTGCATCCTTTGGAGTGTGCATTTTACTTCTCCCAGCCCTCAAAACTCCAAAAATGAAGAATGCTTCTGAGTATCCTTCATGGCCGTTGATGGTTTATGGTTTATGGTGAGTGAGGATGGATGAAGGACCCGTGAGAGGGGGGCCTTGTAAGTGGGCCAAAGGACACTGAGCTTTAATTAAACCTTCATGTTCCTCAGGTGAAGGTTAGAAACACTCGGGGTTCTGAACTTTAGGATCCATAAAGGGGTCCCCAAGAATTCTTTTCCTTTGATTTCTCAGAGCCAGGCATTGGCCTGAGAAGAGCAAAGAGGTCTCTAATTCAGTTCAGACCATCGTCATGGAGTCCCATCACCATTTTGAGCTGGTTGTGACCAGTTAGGACTCCAACCAGTGTACTTAGAGTTGTCCTTGTCAGGGCGATGAGAGCTCTCCCAAACCTAAGATTTGGGCCATTTATCAGTTCCCGTGCCGGTCTACAGTCCGTCAGCTCCCACTATCGGATTGAGTGTTGACGTAGGGAGGTTCTACAGACTGTTGTTGAAATACCTACAACATGCTATCCTTTACGGCTGACGATATCCCAGGATTCATCACCCCTTCATTAAACTTTACAGGAAAAAGAAAATGACAGAATCTGGGGAATCGTCATGAACCAAAGAAATCATTGTTTAGCAACTTAGCTGACGAAATGTACGCTGCTATGTGATGTTAAATACAATAACACACAACTGCAAGTAGTCAATACTGGAGCTTTTTTTTTTTTCATTTATTGTACTTACACAAGTGGTACAGGCTTATGTACAAGTATAATACACATTTTGAGTAGACCATTAGATAGATAGTAATGAACATGAACTGTGGAACTGTAAAATTAAACAGAAAACAATATATTAAAACCTAAAGAGCAACTGGAGCTACATTAAAATAAAGTATCACAATACTGTTATAAAACTATAGTCCCGACTAGGGATATCCCGATCAGATACTCAGTATCGGTATCGGTGGCAGATATGAACATTTTTTGAAAATTGGGTAGAATAGGATTTAGTCGTGATCGGGCCGATCCAGTTTTCGCGACAGTTTTCAGCATCGTCATGCTTTACAAATGCTGTTAAGAAGTCAAGACGCACACAAGTATGCAACCATGTCCACAGTGTGGGAACACTTTTCAATGGAAAACAATATCTGCATTTCCATTGACCATGAAAATGCGCAAATTAGAATTTCGAAAATAAAATTTGCTCAATGGAAACACGTCAATTTCTAAATAAATTACGTTTTTTGACAAAATGTTTTTGCGCTAGGATGAGGTGGTTTTTCGGCTGTGTCGAAATTGGTGTTTTTCGCAAAACTGCAATGGAAACACTTTTTTCACATCACGGGAGTCACGTGATCAACAACCGGCTGTTTCTGCTGGTGAAAAAGACGATGACGAAGAAGATAACAGGAAGTAGAAGTAGTAGTAAAATCACTGAAGTAGTATAAAATAGCAAACTCACCGACAATTTCCCAAAAACACAGCATACGTAGCCGCTCCCAAGAAGGGACTTGTCACTGGAAAGCCTCGATAAAAGACGCCAACGTCTCCTCTGTTGATGAGCGCAAGTGTCGCGGTAGCAACATGCTATGTGTTTACATTCATTGCCGCCATGTTTGTAATGACTTATCACAAGAACAAATGTTTTCACACGTGACTTTAATAGCATTTCTTACTTAATGGAAACACCGCAATTGCGAAACTGTGTTTTTTCGACATTAACAGAATATTGACAAAGTTTTGCGCACATTTGCAATGGAAACGCAGCTACTGATGCTGAAACTGCATCTTGCAAAATCTGCAAACTGGATGTTTCTCGTGGTGGGAACAGCAGGGCTCGCTTTAATACTACCAACCTTGTCCCTTGGAAAGAAATAAAGAAATAAAGCTATCAGATCGGTATCGGAAAGACTAATCACTAAAAACATTGGATTGTATTGAGAGCCAAAAAATCTGGATCGGGACATCCCCAGTACTGACAATGGAGCTAAACCCAAATTATTCATGTCTTCTATGTATTTATGTGTAATGTGTTTAACAGTATGTTGAATTTTGTGAAGTTATAACTCCTGTGAAAAGATGTGTTAATATGCATGTTCCAAACACATTTAAAGTTGTAGTATAGTATAGTTTAGTATGTGATATGAAATGTAACACTATAGTCACGAGGTAGAGCGTGTTCACACAAATATATACATCATCCAGATACTAAACTGTCTCATTTAACAGCTGTTTATGTAGCCTACCTGGACTTTTAAGGTTGTGGCCTCCATGGGGCTGCAACCCCTGAACTGAGACACAGATATTGCCCTTAAATTTTGGCGTAACCTGTTGGAGTCGACCCTGTTTATTTGGGGATTTGCATCCCTTCAAGGAATGGTGGACCTTTCCACTGGCCAAATTTAGTCCAAGCAGTTCAGACTTACATAAATACAGCTGAAATTGGTGTACACAACTTAAGATGTCCAAAATGCCAGAGAGCACAAAAAGGGATTTCAACACTGACTTCCTTTCAGCAGCTGATTTGCGGCCTTGGCTGCGTTGAAAAGCACAATGACTTCATTCAGCTGAGGACAGAAACAGAAGACAACACTGGTTTATGTGAAAATAAGGAAGTTTGTGTCTAGTAGATTATTTCTTTGTTGTATCAGTGCTTCTTGGCAATAAATCTTAAACAGGGCACCTGATTGGCAGCACCTGGGGGTGCTAGCAACTCAAAACAAGAGTCAATAACAGCAGCAGAATCAGCTGTTTTGTCAGAGAAGATTTGGCAGTTTTTTCATGTGTACAAGTCACATACTCAGCTCTACTGCTCATCCCACAAATGCATGTTCCTTACAAATGTGGCACCATTTAAAAGGGAAATTAAAAGGCTTTCCTTACTTTTTGTGCTATTTGCGCATTAAAGTGTCTGTGACATGCTTATCCTTCAGATACAAAAAGTCAAAGAAAACTTTGTTCTATTGAAGAACCTTGGCATAACACATTATTTTACCCATTTGGTCACATAACTGACCTATTTTCTTTTGAACTTGGCTTGGCAAAAGGGAAACAGGAAGTGACATCAAAGGGGAACTCCTTTAAGAAAAAGAACTCACTGGTCTTTGTTTTTTGAAACATTATTTGAACTCTGACTCTTTTTTTATTTCTGTTTGATAGCGACTCAAAATGATCTAAAACATCTGATTCCTCTCCACAGTCTGGGCTGTTGAGCATTTTAGCTTAGCTCTGTTTTCATGCAGACATTCCTCTTTGACATCACTTCCTGTTACTTCACATGCAAATATCTCAACAACTGTTCATCTCAGCGGCATGAAAATTATTTTGTGAAATGTTCTTAGTGTTATCTTTCCAAAAATGCGTTTGTGTTATTACAAACATTTTTATGTCACGAGCACTTTAATGTTTCACTTGTATAGAATAGGACGACATATTTTGTTGTTTTATCTAATGTGTAATAGAAACATCAAACTTTACTGGCTGACCAGTTAGCTCCGAGACATTGTGAAGCCCAAGGTTAAACTCACATAATTTTACAAATGAAAAAAGAAATGCTCTGTTGCACAGTTTGAGAATATGTTTGTTTTATTTTTTACTTGACTCGGTCATTCTCGCACTTTCTGCCCTCCTGCTCTTAACTCATTTTCAGGCCATGCCAAAATTGTCCACCTGCTGTTGGAGAGAAACACGTCAGGCACAATTCCTTCAGACAGCCAAGGAGCAACACCACTGCATTACGGAGCTCAGAAAAACAACGCTGTGAGTCGTTTTGTCGTGCTTTAGTCAAAGACAGGATTTTTTTCTGCGTTGGTGCTAAACCTCTTCTTACGCGTCACATTTAAGGGAAAAAAAGTGTTGTTTTGCTGACTCGTGTCTCATAATGAGTTGAGTGAACTCTGTTACTAAACTGCCTTTGTCTTTGTCTGTGTGCGAAGGAAACTGTCGGCGTGTTTCTGTCTCATCCGTCTGTGAAAGATGAACCCGATCTGGAAGGACGAACAGCCTTCATGTGGGCCGCCGGGAAGGGCAGCGATGATGTCATCCGCACCATGCTCGCCCTCGTGCCTCGCATCGACACCAACATGGCCGACAAGTACGGCGGCACCGGTGAGAGCGAAGTGAATCAAAACTCCTCCAAATTGACTCACCTATGTGTTTGTGTCCACAATTCATGAGGCTTTACACAAGCAGACTCACACCTGTTGTAGCCTGTAGGCAAAAAGGAAGAGCGTGGTTTTGTCTTTGTGTATTTGTTTGTAGCGTTATCAAAATATTTCAAATTCCAGTAGACAGATTTCAGTTTAACCCTCAGAAAGTAATGATTGAATATAGATTTGCAAAGATTAACCTTTAGAGTCATCACATTCAAGATGGCTGCCTAAAGCAACTTCAGTAAAGACAAAAAAAGACTAACTTTGCAAAAAATCTAAATTTTGTGCTGAATTGTGGTATGTTAGTAGCTGGGAACCATCCTAAACACGTACTGACGTATTGACGTATGATGTCAAAGGGGGGATTCCCACACAAACACGTTAACCAGTGAGACTAAAAAAATGAAGGTGATCCTGAGCACTCAAACGCCTCGCTATCACCACTTCCCCACAGCTGGTTATAAACATAATCTCCGTGCCAATATGGCCTCTGCTCAACCAGCTGCACATTGTTGATACATGAACAACACACGATGCTAATGAGTCGGTGTGGCGGGGCAGTGGAGCTGACTGGTGCCCACCATCCTCCTCTGCTCGGTGCTGTCTGGGGACCGGAGTGAGGAGGACTCCACTGCATCGCTCCTCATTAAAGCTCTCCGTCTGTTTAACCCTGCGCTGACTGGGCTTCAGCCACAGAGGAGCTGCAGTTAAAGGGATGAGTAGAGAACGTCTCGAGGGTGTGTATTATCCTGTTAGACTCAAGGATCTTGGTGTGTGTGTATGTCTGTGTATGCATGTGTGTGTGTTTAAACAGCGCTCCACGCGGCCTCCCTGTCAGGCCATGTGAGCACAGTGAAGCTGCTGCTGGAGAACGGAGCAACAGTCGACTCTCTGGACGTCATGAAGCACACGCCGCTGTTCCGTGCGTGCGAGATGGGCTACAAAGATGTCATACTCACACTCATCAAAGGTGGGCGGGGTCAGTAATTACTGGAAATGTGCCAGCAGTGATTAAACACCAACAGTGTGTGCTGTTGTTTCCTGGTGTCTTCTCAAACATGTGGTGTGTAGGTGGTGCGCGGGTGGGCCTGGTAGACGTGGACGGCCACACTGCTTTGCACTGGGCCGCTCTGGGGGGGAACGCAGAGGTCTGCCAGATCCTGATGGAGAACGGGATCGGTCCCAACGTACAGGTAGGGGTTTAAATGAAAGGGTTCGATCAGATGTGGAGTCATCATGCAGCCATGCGTCATTGTAAATCTGAGTGCTCATTCACTTTATTAAGCTAAACTATGTTTTTCTGTTGTTTTTCCATGGAGGTTGTGGTAGCTCAGTGGTCAGAGCTGCAGCCTTGTAGTCCTGAGGTTGTGGGTTCAAGTCCAGATTGCATCAGGAATTTATAAAACATGAACAAAATGCTCCTTTTCACCTCAACGGCTTTAATATACTCTCATTATTATTGCAATGTCAATTTATTTATAGCACATAAAGACAACAAGAGTTGACCAAAGTGCTTCACAATTCAACCAATTTAATAAAACAACAAAGCAACACAAAAAATATAAAAATAATAAAAATAAGGTCAATATAAAACAGAGAAATAGAACATTGGCTTTAAAGGGGCAATATCATGTAAAATCAACTTTTTTGAGTTTTATATCATGTTATAATGTTATATTCTCATAAAAAACATACCCAAAGCCTTGCTCTGACTCATTCATGCATGTTTGAGAAATCCTGCAGTGTTTTTAGGAATCCATGCTGAGGAGCAAAACGACAGGTGGAGACCAGAAACACCTTTTGGTACCAGAAACGCCACTGGGACGTGTCTTTAAGCCGAACTTCCTCATGGCAGAGCTATCGATTAAAACTGCGCTTGGAAGGAAAGTAGGAAGAGATTAGGGCTGAATGGAAACATTTGTAAAATCAGCCTTTCTTGCAGGATCATGCAGGACGCACTCCGCTGCAGTGTGCAGCGTACGGCGGTTACATCACATGCATGGCGGTTCTCTTAGAAAACAACGCTGATCCAAACGTACAGGACAAGGAGGTGAAGATTTCCTGGCATTAGCATAAATGTTCACCTGTTAACAAAAAAAAAGTTTAAGTGGTCTTGTTGTTGTTGTGCTAACAGGGGCGGACTGCTCTGCACTGGTCGTGTAACAACGGCTACCTGGATGCCGTGAAGCTGCTGCTGGGCTACAACGCCTTTCCCAACCAGATGGAGCACACAGAGGAGAGGTGAGGACCGAGGCAGTAATAAAAAACAGCAGCAGAGGCAACATGTAGATAATGTATGAAAGTAAAAAAACGACTGTTTGTGATCAGGGTTGCCAAATTGGACTGACAGTTTCCAGCCCAAACGCAACGTAAAACCTGACCAACCACAGAAAAAACAGCCCAAATCTCACATACATTAAAGATATATATATATATATATATATATATATATATATACTCACCGGCCACTTTATTAGGTACACCTGTCCAACTGCTCGTTAACACTTAATTTCTAATCAGCCAATCACATGGCGGCAACTCAGTGCATTTAGGCATGTAGACATGGTCAAGACAATCTCCTGCAGTTCAAACCGAGCATCAGTATGGGGAAGAAAGGTGATTTGAGTGCCTTTGAACGTGGCATGGTTGTTGGTGCCAGAAGTGCTGGTCTGAGTATTTCAGAAACTGCTGATCTACTGGGATTTTCACGCACAACCATCTCTAGGGTTTACAGAGAATGGTCCGAAAAAGAAAAAACATCCAGTGAGCGGCAGTCCTGTGGGCGGAAATGCCTTGTTGATGCCAGAGGTCAGAGGAGAATGGGCAGACTGGTTCGAGCTGATAGAAAGGCAACAGTGACTCAAATAAACACCCATTACAACCYAGGTAGGCAGAAGAGCATCTCTGAACGCACAACATGTCGAACTTTGAGGCAGATGGGCTTCAGCAGCAGAAGACCACACCGGGTGCCACTCCTTTCAGCTAAGAACAGGAAACTGAGGCTACAATTTGCACAAGCTCATCGAAATTGGACAAGAGAAGATTGGAAAAACGTTGCCTGGTCTGATGAGTCTCGATTTCTGCTGCGACATTCGGATGGTAGGGTCAGAATTTGGCGTCAACAACATGAAAGCATGGATCCATCCTGCCTTGTATCAACGGTTCAGGCTGGTGGTGGTGGTGTCATGGTGTGGGGAATCTTTTCTTGGCACTCTTTGGGCCCCTTGGTACCAATTGAGCATCATTGCAACGCCACAGCCTACCTGAGTATTGTTGCTGACCATGTCCATCCCTTTATGACCACAAAACCGTTACTAGCATGGTGTACCTAATAAAGTGGCCAGTGAGTGTATATATATATATATGTATATATATATATATATATATATATATATATATATATATATATATATATATATATGAAGTGTAAAGATATATATATATATATATATATAATAGTTTACAGTTGATATTATTAACCAACACCATTTCGTAGTGACACTTGATATTTTGATGTAATTTCTTTATGAGTACTTTCTAAAAACCTGTCAAATGTGTTAAAAACAGCCCAAATTTTAACAACCCACACAAAGCTGTTTTTTCCAGCCCAACAAGTTCAAAAGAAACCCAGTTTGGCCACACTGTTTGTGTGCAGGTACACCCCTCTGGACTACGCTCTGCTGGGGGGCCACAGTGAGGTGACCCAGTTCATGCTGGAGCACGGCGCCCTGTCCATAGCAGCCATCCAGGACATCGCCGCTGCCTCCATCCAGGCCGTCTACAAGGGCTACACAGTCCGCAAGGCCTTCAGGGAGCGAAAGCAGCTGCTCATGAGACACGAGCAGCTGCGCAAAGATGCAGCAGCCAAGTGAGAAACACACACCGAGTTCTCCTTTGTGTCTTCCTGATCAGTCTCTGTCGTTCTCCTCCTCCCATCCATGTGGAAACCATCACACTCTTTTCCTATCTGTCTTTGTTTCTGTCATGTGTAAACACATGCATCTTCCTTCTGTCTTTGTCCCCCGGTTTGCTAGTCCTTTTGTCATTTGTCCACCGGGCTCACCTTCGTTTCCAAAAGTAAATTTGTTTGAAAGAGCTGCAGTGGGTAGGAAAGGCAGGAATGTTTAACCAAAGAATAAAGATTTTATCTTTACACGTTTTCAAATACAAGTACACTCTTATACATATATATTGTGGTAAAACTGGGATTTCAGTGGTTGAACTGATAGACGGATGACTTTAAAGTGCCTGTGACATCACATTTTTGTAATAAACATTAATGTTTTTTGGGAAGATAACAATGATTACATATTGCCAAACTAATTTCACGTCACTGAGATGAACAGTTGTTGAGATATTTGCCTGTGAAGAAACAGGAAGTGATGTCAAAGGGGAATGTCTGCATGTAAACAGAGCGTTGTTACAAAAGCTAACAACACAGACTGTAGAGAAGAATCTGATGTTTCTTTAGATTATTTTAGTCACTATCAAAAACAGACGAAGAAGAGTTAAAGTTTAAATAATTTTGTTTTAATAAACAGAGAGTTTATATTATTATTGAGTTTCCCTTTGACATCACTTCCTGTTTCACTTTGACTGAGCCAAATTCAAAAGAAAATAGGCCAGTTATGAGACAAAATGGGTAAAATTGTGTGTATTATGCCAATTTGCCTAAGTGTAAAGATGTTTTCTTTGACTTTTTGTATTTGAAGGATAGGCATGTCACAGACACTTTAAGCTTTATAATGACCTTTAAAAACATTTGTTTCAAGTTCATTTTAAATACTGTGGATACACACATTGGGTCAAAGTGCAGCATGTTTGCTTCTTAATACAAAAAAATTCACATTACTTTTTTTCATGTTGAGTGGCATGGCAGAGGTTAGAGAAATCAGTTTGAGGGTTTGAATCCTCCCTATCCGTTCCTACAGGCGCCCAAGATGGCAGCCCCCCAGCTCCACACATGTGGGCTGTTGTAGCAGGGTGGTCAGTGGTTTTGTCATGAGAGGCATCCGGCATAAAAACAATTCCCAAATCATTGTGACAACTGCTTGATGTTGGTGAATATTACCTTTATCTTGCCTAATATATATATTTTTTCTTTTTCTTTTTTTTTTACCGTGTCCTGTATGAAACTCAGAATTGATGTGTGAGTGTCCAAATGAAGCCCAACAGTTTTTCTTTCATAAGTGCAGCATAATGCCATTTCACCATGATGCTCCATTCGATATATATTTAAAACTTAAGTATAAATTCTTGATAAATTCTTGAATTGCCTAAAATATTTCAAAAAATGTAAATTGACTTGACAGCACATTTTTAGCCTTGTTGGATAAACTTCAAGTCCATTTTATCCAAACATTTATTCTTTTTTAGCTAATATGTAAAATTTATTCTATAATAATAAACACAGTAGAAGAAAAGCACGAGTCAGTTTCTTCCCTTAAAAAGAAGTTGGAGGATCAAACCATCAACCTTCTGTTTAACCTGAGGCTAGTGCTTCCTGTGAGCAGAGCCACACAAAAACACAGTAACACTTTAAACGATTAACATCAGATTAGCTCGTAATAAAAGGTAACTCACAACGTCAACTGCTAAGGCTTTATTCTCTCCTGTGTGGTGTCCAGAAAGCGAGAAGAAGAACAGCGAAGACGAGAAGCTGTACATCGAGTTTCGACTAACGCCGCAGACAAACGAAGGGTTTCTCTAGTCAAAGCGGAGCAGGAAAAGCTCGCCTCGATGAACATAAATGATTCGTTAGAGACAAAGAAATCATCCAAAGGTGAACGCACAAAGACCAAAGAGGAGAGACATACAGGTACGACTGGAAGTTCACATTTGTTAGTTGACAAGATGTTAAAGTTCCCGTGACATCAAATTTTTGTAATAAATATGAATGCAGTTTTGGAAAGATAACATTGATAAAATATTGCTAAACAAAATTTGACACCGCTGAGATGAACAGTTGTTGAGTTATTTGCATGTGAAGAAACAGGAAGTGATGTCAAAGGGGAAAGTCTGCGTGTGAACAGAGCGATGCTGCATTAATTAGAGAAGAATCTGTTTCTTTAGACTATGTTGAATCGCTATCAGAGTTGAAGAAGAGTTTAAATAAGATTGTTTCAATAAATAAATAATAGAGTTTCTTTTCTTAATGAGTTCCCCTTTGATGTCACTTCCTGTTTCACTTTGCTGAGCCAAATTTACGAGAAAATATGCCAGTAATGAGACAAAATGGGTAAAATCATGTGTATTATGGTAATTTTCTTAAAGTGCCTGTGACATATTTTTTTATAATAAATATAAATGTATTTTTGGAAATATAACATTGATAACATATTGTAAAAAGGATTTCACGCTGATGAGATGAACAGTTGTTGAGATATTTGCCTGTGAAGTAACAGGAAGTGGTGTCAAAGGGGATGTCTGCATGTGAACAGAGCGTTGCTAAAATGGCTAAAAACACAGACTGTAGAGAAGAATCTGATGTTTAGATTATTTTAATCCCTATTGTAGAGAGATAAGAAAAAGTCATTGTTCAAATAATATTGTTAAAATAAACAAAAACCGGTGTTTTCTTTCTCAAAGAGTTCCCCTTTGATGTCACTTCCTGTTTCACTTTAGCTGAGCAAAATTCAAAAGAAAATATGCCAATTATGTGACGTAACAGATAAAATCGTGTATTATGCTAATTTTCTTAAATATAAATATGTTTTATTTGACATTTTGTGTTTGAAGGATAAGCATGTCACGGGCCCTTTAAGAGTTCCCCTTTGATGTCACTTCCTGTTTCACTTTGGCTGAATCAAATTCTAAAGAAAATGGTCTGACAGAATGGGTCAAATCATGTGCATTATATCAAGTTCCTTAAATAAAATAGTTTTTAGTTGAATATTTGAAGGACATGCATGTCACAGACACTTTCAATACACTTTTAAAAGTTGTTTTCATGACATGTTTTTATTGAATAAGTCAAATATTATTTTTTGTCCACCCTGCCAGCTCATAAGAGCAGGATGTCCAGAAGAAGAAGCACAGCTGAACGAGCTGAGGCTCCTGAAGCTTTGAGCTGTGACACAGACGTTTCCCAGACCACCAGGCTGGACGAGCTTCTGTCGCCCTCCGTCTGCAGGGAGCTGAAACCCACACCTCCCAGCTGGCCCAGAGTCAGGGACCGATCCTCCTCAAACACATCGGCTCCTTCCCCCCCTGTCTCAGCTCTGGAGCAAAGTGAAGCCGGCGCCGGGGATTGCATCCCCCTGAAAAAGAGAGACGGTCGCTCGAGTCGCACGCACGCCTCTCTGCAAAAACACCGAAACCGCAGGGAGCAGGCTTCAGAGCGGGCCTTTGTCAAAGACCAAACCGCCTCGTTACGAAGCAATTCCTCATTACAGCGCCAGCAGCCCTCAGGAGGAGCTCAGGCCGGCAATCACACGATCACACGGGAGCAACAAGACGGGGATCTGAGGAGGAACGAGGCTGCGCGCATCCTCCAGCAGGCGTGGCTCAGGTTCGTACCTGGAGGAGAGAGACCCAGGATGTGCTGTTTTTTTTTATTAATATTAAAAAGTCCCATGTGGTGCCCACATGTGTCCTCTCCCACATACACCCCACCCTCTATTATTCACATGAGAGCGTGGGAGAGGGGTGAGGGGACAGAAAGGCCTATAATCTAGAACTTTCATACTCCTTTAACAAGAGGCTAAAAGTTCAGCGGGGGCTGCTTTAATAGCTCCCAGCAGCTTCTCTTCTCTTCGGTTTGCTTCTCTTCCTAAACTTCGCTACATTTCTCTAAGCAGCTGCCAGTCCACCGCAGGAGGTCCTCTGTTTCTGTGCAGCCACACAATTAAATCGTGTACACACGGGCCTATTAAGGGCCTCAAATAAACTGTTTACTTTGTTTAAGCTTGGTGAGCATTTGTGCTAGTACTTGCCAGGTTTTAAGCCTTTGAACGCAGTCTGAGGTGCTGTTTTATTGAGACGTGTGTGGGTGTGTGTGTGCGTGTAGGTTTCGCGCACGCAGAAGAAGAGAGCTGAAGGACCGCGTGGAAGTGGAGTCAAGTGATTCAAGCTACAAGAGAAAAACAGAAAGCAGAGTTCATCTCGGCAAACCAGGAAGTAAAAGCTCTGTGCTACAAAACATCTACGGTAAGAAAACCATGACGTCGCTCAAACCACCCGCCTTCCTTTTCAGTGTTTTTTAATTTTTTTAACGGTTTCAAAAATGTCAAATAAGCACACTTAATAAAAAGCAAATGCCCCTTTTCAGCATTAAAATAAATGAATTACATGGAGGTTTAGTGACTGGAAAGTTAACAAAGTTCGTGATAAATAAATAAAAAAACTAGTTTGTTTTTATGGGTTGTTATACTAATCCTAAAGAGGTAGTTCAGATCTTTTGAAGTGACATCTGTGAAATGTTAATGAACAATTAATATCTTACCTGTTGTAGATGGATCTTTGAACGACATCTGTTATGAGAAACAGTTTTGTTTGGACCGGATTGATGAGCTAATCTGATCTGAACTGAGGCCAAAGTGAATTGCTGCCTTTAGGTTACTGTAAATTTTACATTACACTGTTATTCCAGCAAAATGTCATAATATTCCTGCTGAAAGTGTCCCAGGCTGCAGTGGAAGCAAGCATTTAGCTACAGGGGCATCGGGGTGTCTGGTTCGGGTTACAACGATTTCAGCTGGGAGTGCCTCAGGGCTGATTTTCAGGTTTGCAGAGTTTTTTTTTTTTTAAATAAATTTTGTAATCTTCCATAAACTTCATTACACACACACTCACTCAAGTGGAGCAGCGGGCAGCTATTTCAGCACCCAGGGAGCAACTTAGGGATTAGATGTCATGCTCAACGACACTACAACATGTGGGCATGTTGGGGAATAGAACCTGTGACTTTCTGGTCCCAAGGCAACTGTCCTACCACTACACCACAGTCTCCTCCAAGTGTTTCATATCAGTTGATATCGATAATTGATTAGTTTGTTTTACCTACAGTATCTGAAATAAGGACCAGGAAAAAAAGTTGACGTGATTTTCCTCTTTTATCCACATTTTCCTCTCAAGCTGTCGCACTCATTTTCTCCTTGATGCCACCAGCCTCGCTTAGCTGAGCCGTAAGAGGTCGAGCGGCTACTTTCCTCTGCATATATCCCCCAGAATGCTGTGCGGTTCTGGATCAGAGTTCAGTGAATTTATCAACAATCTATCAGACATATTTTATATATTGATCACGTGTCTATTATGATATACTGTGTATTATTATTTTATCGCCCAGCCCCCCTCAGAGTAGAGCCGCTGCTCCTCCACGTCGAGAGGAGCCAGTTGAGGTGGTTCATCTAGTTAGGATGCCTCCTGGACGCCTCCCTGGTGAGGTGTTCCACGTCCCACTGTGAGGAGACCCAGAAGAAGAACCAGGACACGCTGGAGGGACTATGTTTCTCAGCTGGCCTGGGAACACCTTGGGATTCCCCCAGATGAGCTGGTCCAAGTGTCTGGAGAGAGGGAAGTCTGGGTCTCTCTGCTTAGGCTGCTGCCCCTGAGACCTGACCCCGGATAAGAGGAAGAAAATGAACGGACGCCCAGCCTTATTTCTACATTAAATACAGGGTTCCCACACCTTGGTCAACATCAAATTCAAGAACCTTTCAAGGACTTTCCAGTACCAATTTCCTCAAATTAAAGAACCACGCACAATGACAGTTACCTACTGCTACCGCTGAATGTTACCAATAAACAGGTTTAAATATCATGTAAATTCAATGAAAAACTGAACAACGTAGAAGTTGTTGAGTCAGAATCAATGATGTCAGTTTACCGTAATCCTGAGTTATCCAACGCAACAAATGTAAGTTTTTTTATTTAATTTTATAATTTATCTTTTTAAAAGATGATGAAAATCAGTTATGTGAGAAGAGAATTTCAATCCCCAAAAAACATTCAAAGACTTTCAAGGACAAGTGCAATTTTTGGCTGTTTTCACAAACTTTCCAGGGCCTTGAAATCTTTTTTTTATTCACAAACTTTCAAGAATTTCAAGGACCTGTGGGAACCGTGTAAATAAAAATGTGGTACTGATTGTTAAATGTGACTGTTTTGCTTAACTTGATGATTTTATGTAGGTAGGTAGATATATATCTGAACACAAATTCAACACATAACTAATTGTTGATCGTCATAAGAGTAGAGTATTATTTTTGGCTGGAGGCGTGACTCTTGAGAGTAGAAGCCCACTTCCTGATGACCTAATAAAATAGGCGGGGTCATGCCTCGAAGCGCTGTGTTGAATTCAACTGGCTTCCTGGGTTTCGGTAGCCCGGCCCTGGCCTTCCTACGCAGCTCCGCTCAATTCTAGTTTCCTTCACTGCTCCATCTGGGACTTCTCCCATTGACAAGGATTTCGCTGGCAGATTTTTAGCCGAACCAATCAGAGAACAGAACGTCAATTTTCTGTGCAGTGTCTGCTTGTAGTTTATTTTACCTGGGCCAATCAGAGAACAGAACCTCAATTTTCTGCGCAGTGTCTGCTTGTAGTTTATTTTACCTGGGCCAATCAGAGAACAGAAGGAGGAGTTTGACGTCAATGTTCTGCGCAGTGTCTGCTAGTTAGTTTAGCATACGGCAGTGGAGGAAGTGAATGAAGCCAGTCTGTGTTGATAAGGCTTCCAGATTAAATTAAATTTGTCTGACAAAGCAGCAGCTCTCATTTACAGTCTCGTTCAGCTCGGTACTTTTCTCCTCTCAGTAGAGTTGTTTACAGCACACGATTTCCGGTTAGCTTCTTAGCTTAGCCTCCTTCACAGCGACTCTTCAGCAGAGGCCACGCCTCCTGCAAGAATTGCTTCTCCATAGCAGAGAGTCCAGACCCTCGTATGAAGCAAAGTGAAGGACAAGGGTCTGGTTTTTACCAGGTTAGGGTTTTGGTCTGAACGCTTGGTCAATAAACAGGCCTTCAGCAGAGCGCTCTTGGTTTTGTAGGATCTCTTTATTATTCTTTTTCCATGCATTGATACACTCCGTATGGTTCAAGCACACAAACTGGTGAACGGACACGCTTAATATTTTCTTTCAAGTTAATAAAAATTTCAAATTTAGCGGTGGGGGGGGGGGGGGGTTGAAACTGACAGGTACCAGTACACGTAGGTGATACTGCAGTTCACGCTACGTAACAGCATCAGCCTGGTTTCCTGCGTAAAACTCCTGCCAGGGTTTCACCCCCAGACAGGTCTGACCTTCATAGCACATCACCAGGTGATGATAGCAGGGACAGGCAGAAACCCTCGCTCTGCCAAGGCACACACACACACACACACACACACACACACACACACACACACACACACACACACACACGTGCCCTCTTCTGCTTGCCGGCGGACTGAAAGAGTCCTCGCTCCCAACGTTGCTTCTGTCGCCGGGCTTTCCCCCTCCTCCCTCACCTCGCCTCGTTCTCCCTCGTTCTCCCCTCCTCTGTATCTGACAGTCCTGACTCTGTGAAAAGTTCAGAGCTGTCAGGGGGAATGTCAGACGACTGCGTAGGGCGATCTGCTGAACACACAAACACACAAAGCCTCACACACGTTCACGAGACTTATTTTCTCACCCCGTTCTTGATTTCCATGAAGCGAAGATGCTGGACGAGCAACGTGGTGCTCTCTTGTTTTAATCTCATCTTCTAAAATTAATCCTAACTTCTAATCCACGTTCATCTATTCCTTCCCAGTAGGGTTGGGCAATATTGACATAAAAATTTATTACAATTAATTGTGGCATTTAGACAATAATGATTAATAGATGAAAACTGAACTTTCATGTAGCTTAGGTTGTGTCCTTTGGACACATTTTCTGGCCTTCCTCCGGTTTGTGTTGGTGTTTCAGGTGATTAAACAAGTTTGCAGGGTTTGTTGGATTCACTTGTGCGCCTGATAGTGAAAGTAGTGTTGTACACAAATGCAAAGTGGCAAATAAATAATTGAGTTTTACTGATGATTAATTACACACGATACGGTTTCACCGAATCCTACTCAGCATAGGAGTTTAAATGATGCACACAATGTATTTGTAAATTTAACATTGAGCTTTGTTCTGCTAAAAACACTAAATTACACATGAAACTCTTAATAAACAAATAAATCTTTCAAACTGTCTTCACAGGGAAGCTTTAAAGTGCCTGTGATATATCCATCAAATACACAAAGTCAAAGAAAACACATTTTTATATATGAAACCTTGCATAAAACGTGATTTTACCCATTTTGTCACATAAATGGCATATTTTCTTTTGAATTTGACTCAGCAAAAGTGCAACAGGAAGTGACATCAAAGGGGATCTCTTTAAGAAAAAGAACTCTAGTCTTTATTGAAACATTTTTTGAACTCTGGCTACGTTCACACTGCAGGCAAATCCGACCCAAATCCGATTTTTTTGACCCATCTGACTCATATCCGATTTTTTTATGACAGTCTGAACGCGACAAATCCGATTTTTTCAAATCCGACCCAGGCCGTTTCAGTATGTGGTTTTAAATCAGATATATATCTGATGTTTTCAAAGTGACTGCAGTGTGAACGCTCATGTCACATTCATCTGACTTTTTCATCAGGAGGAGGGGCTGAAGGACCGATAAGACACTAACCTGAAGTCTCGCTGTTTAAATCTGTAGCTCCGTGTGTTTACAGCTCCAGAACACAAGTCCAGTTGCTTCATCTCTTTACTTTTCATTTTCCACGTAGATAGTTTGATAATAACATGTCCAGCCTGGGTCGGAGAGTATCGATCCTAAAGTTCGAAACTCGGTCGATACTTTTTTCCAGCTCGTAGTTTCTTTAAAAAAAAAAAAGCTTCACTGGAGCATCCCGGTCAGAGGCAGGTTCAGATATAAACACTGAACTAAAGAAGCAGGTCAGATAATTATTTAATCAGCTCTGATTAAACAACTTCCGATTCGATGCGCAAAATGTAGCATCCACGCTAGCTCTGTAAACAAACAAGCCGGCTGATGAGACGTCACGTCTTTTACTGCGCATGCGTGTCACATCAGTGCTGTGMAGCGTTCACACAGGGGTCTGATGCAGGTCACATTTAAAATGTAATGTGAACGTTCACACAAAAAGATCAGATTTTTTCAAAAAATCGGAACTGAGCATTAAGACCTGCAGTGTGAACGTAGTCATAGACTCGTCTTCATCTCTCTGATCGACTCAAAATAATCTAAAGAAACAGATTATTCTCTAAAGTCTGTCGTTAGCTATTTTATCAACGCTTTGTTCCATGCAGGCATTCCCCTTTGACATCACTTCCTGTTCTTTCACATGCTAATATCGCAACAACTGTTAATCTCAGCAGTGGGAAATTATTTTTATAATTTGCTAATAATGTTATCTTTCCAATAACGCCTTTATATTTATTTTAAAAATTTCATGTCACAGGCACTTTAATGACGTTAAGTAAATAAAAGTTCTTCCCTGGGATTTATTGGTAAAAAAAAAAGATTAAAACTGATGTGTCTGAAAAAAAATTAAATTTTTTAGCTGTTAAATACATTTTGTTGTACTCGGAGTGTCTAAATGTGCAGAAAAGTTTGATTTTAGTCTCCCCAGGTGTTATGTAGATATCTTTATATTCTGTTTGGGTCATGTTTTTCAACTTGTTCAGTTTTCTCCATTTTCTATGACATTTTCTGAATTATTACGTCAAATTATTTGCGACGGAACTGACAAATATGGTCTGGATTTACCAGCTACTATTTCCTCATCTTCATTCACCTCAGGGTCAGACTGACTCCAACATGTAAAGCTGGATGGACAAGTCTTTCCTTGTTGACATCCAGTGGTGGGCACAGTTCCCCTAAAGCACTAAGGCACTAATAGGGGAATTAATTTCCTGATTAGTGCTTTAGGGCTTTTGCTAATTGTAAAATTTATTAGTAGATTAGCACTTGCTAAATTTATAGGCTAAATTTAGAAGCACTAACTGTGCCCTCTATTAACCCCTCTATCAAACTGGACTGAACCAGCGAGCTGTGAAGAGCCTCGTTTGGATTTAAAGAGACAGCCTCAAAACGAGTTGATCCGAGAAACACCTCAGAAAATAGGTGAGGGGGGGGCTTGTGGAGTTACGATAAGAAGGAATTCAGAGCAAAGCATTGCAGGCTCACTTTGTATAGACCCCAACTGAAGGATTTATAAACATACGTCTACTTTAAGAAAAGAAAAGTTGCTCCCTGAGATTTGTTTTTGTGTTGTAATAAAAAAATTATTTTTAAAAATGGCCAAAAAACACATTCAGGCCCCAGCGAGGATTGAACTCGCGACCCCTGGTTTACAAGACCAGTGCTCTAACCACTGAGCTATGGAGCCTCAGCTACCTGTACAGGTGTCACATTCAGGATTTAAAGATGAAAGAAGCAGAGGCGTGGCACCTGGGTTGGTCGGCAGGTTATACAGGAGTGATGTCACACAGCCTCGGCTGACTGGGCTCAAACTGGAAACAGGTTCTGATGCAAATATTTTTCTGTCTTCCTTACAGGCAGCTCGGTGGGGAGACGAGGGCGTTCGTTTCACTCTCCTCTGGATGTCCCTTCCCGCACCCAGAGCCAGCGTAAGCACTCACAAAATTAGTTTTTTTTGAAGGGATCCATGATTAGTTGGAACATTAGACTTTATTTAATAAACATATATTTTAACTGTAAAATAAAGACTGTAAAAATACTGTAGGATGTTTAGTTTTGTAAATTTTTAAAAATATATTTTAACATGGACAGAGCCATTTTATTTACCCGCAAAGTATTCTGGGTAAATGATGACGTGGATAGGTCCTCGGTGCGAGGCTGCTAGCGAGCTATATCCACCCTGAAGGTTAATCTTGGACAATATCTGATGATCGACTCTTTTAAATGAAACCAGAGAGCGTTGACAGAGAGGAGAAGGTAGAAATGACTCAGCCTGGAACTGAAAATATGGATGGAGGACCTCAGTTTAGCTTGCTAGTTTGTCGAGCTAGCACCGAGCTAATACATATAAGGCAATATAGCGTCCGGACTAATGCTAAAGCTAACAGGCTACGCTGAGGTTCTTCTTCCATGAAGCAGCTCTGTTGTCCTCCATCCATATTTTCAGTTCCAGGCTGAGTCATTTCTACCTTCTCCTCTCTGTCAACGCTCTCTGGTTTCATTTAAAAGAGTCGATCATCAGATATTGTCCAAGATTAACCTTCAGGGTGGATATAGCTCGCTAGCAGCCTCGCACCGAGGACCTATCCACGTCATCATTTACCCAGAATGCTTTGCATTTAAATAAAATGGCTCCGTCCATGTTAAAATATATTTTTAAAAATTTAATAAACTAAACATCCTACAGTATTTTTACAGTCTTTATTTTACAGTTAAAATATATGTTTATTAAATAAAGTTTAATGTTACAACTAATCATGGAACTAATCATGGATCCCTTTAAAAAAACGTTGCAATTGGTTAAAAATGTTTTCACACTCTTGTTCCTCAGTGAGCGGTTTAGACTGTGTGCACCTGACTGACGCCTTGAACCAGGCCAAGCAGTACTCTTACCACCTGAGACCACACAGTGCAGGACAGGGAGCGAGAGGCCGCGGGAAGCATTGAACACACACACACACACACACATATTAACACACTCTTATTCTTCTTTGATGTTTTCTCAGCTGGCTGGCACTCTCGCCTCCTATAGAATTACTCGGCACAATGTTCGCTCCGTGCGCCGAAACTTTCTAAAATTAAGCCACGTATGACATCAGAGGCATGACCTCACAGGGCGGGGGGGTTCAGTCTACAGAAATAGTGTGTGTAAAAGATAACCTTTAATCCATTGTGGATGGAGCCCATACACACACACACACACACACACACACACACACACACACACACACACACACACTGAGATAACCTTTCCCCGTGTTATGGAGAATGAGACAGTCTATCAACAGCCAGTCATACAGACAGCCCACCTGCAGCAGCTGCCGACACAAACACACACACAGCTGGTTTTTACATCCCTGTGGGGACCGTGGATTGACTTCCATTCAATTTTTGGTAATTTTTTTTATCCTAACCCTGTCCATTTACCTTAAAATTAACCTCACAGGTACCTACCTGACCGTAAAACTAACCTAAACTCAATTCACACCTTGGTCCTAAACTGAACCCCCAACCCGTAATTTGCATTTTTACCTGTGAGGACCAGGCACACACCTCTGGTCTTTAAGCACTTTTTCCTTTTAAGAGAAACACTCATTTCTGAACTTGTAATGTTTGTTTACACACGTCTTTTTTTGTCCTTTTACAAATGTATAATAAATACCTCTGTGTTTCATGCTTTTATTAGAGGTGCAACAATACATGTACCCACATCGAACCGTTCAATACACACTATGTATGGAACAATACAGCTTTTTAAATTTATTTTATCAACTTGTCTTCTGATGCTCTGTGTTGAAGGATCAGTGGATCTGTGTTCGACTATTCCGCCTAGGCTGCATTGTGGAGCGCAGATCCACTGAGAAAGCAGCAACATTTAATTTAAAAACTGGACTTTTGAAGTTAAACAAATGCTCATAATTCATTTAAATAAATTACAAGTTAAGAAGAGCATGGACATTTCTGTTTTGTAACAAAAATATATCGAACCGTCAGACTAAAGTTTCGAATCAAATCGTGAATTTTCTGTATCGTTGCACCCCTAGCTTTTATGTATTTTAAAATAAAATAAAAAAACAAAGTTCAAGTCGATTTTATGTTTTTTTATTTGGTTTTTCCTTTATTTTTTGTTTGTAATTCAAAGTTTCTTTGTACTTCAGTAAACACTGGCCCAACAATAACACAAAAAAAAAGCTACAAAAAAAGGTGGTAAACAGTTTAAGACAGAGGGAAAAGTTACGTTCTTTCAACAAGAACGAGGAAGTATTTGTGTGTTTGCCTGCAGCAATGTGTGAAAGTGACGCTGCGTTGTACGGCGAGGATGACAAAGCAACACACACCCGGTGCTCGTCTGATGGATGTGCTGGTTAATAGGCGTCTCGAAGGCCCAGGTTCCCACGGTGCGCAGAGGTACCGTGAGCCACGGTGACGCTGTAACAGTACAGCAGGTCCGTCAGCCACTGCTCTCTGGTCGTACCCCGGGCGTACCTCTGAAACACAAACAACCGGTACACAATCAGGGTACAAACGTCCACTTTTCCCTTTCTCTTTTCCTCCTGCAGACGTTTGTTTACCGTGAGGTTCTGTATGATCTCCTGCAGCAGAGCAGTGTTAGCCAGCAGCTGGTTGTGCAGCGGCGTGTGCTGCAGCAGCATGGACAGGATCTGCCCCAGCTGCGGCAGCTCCTCCTCGCTAAGCCCTCGGACACGCATCGACTGCAGAACGATCCGAAGTAGACGGGGAACGCTGCTCAGAGACGTCACGCAGGAACTCCAAATGGCCTCCCTGCGAAGCAAGACGTTTTCAAACCCTCACCCTCTGAGGTCTTTACCACACGGTGGTGCTTTGAGTCATCAATCCAAACGCACCTCTTGTGGTCTGTGTCGGCGGGCGCCTCCTGCTGCAGGGTGACAAGCTGCGCCATCAGGCTGAGGCAGCACTGAGACAAGAAGCGCAGCACCGGCTCCACGGGCAGGATGGACAGATCCAGTAATCTGGAGACGGCTCTCAAGAGCCCGGCTGCCATGCTGTCAGGGACCACGTCCAGCCTGATCTGAGACCCACACAAACCATCATCGTTAGAAAGAAAGGCTGTGGGATAAATCTTGTGCCAGCAGGAACTGAATTTGAATTGCTCAGATTGAATCTGAATGTGCAGAATTTGAAATTCAGTCAGCAGCAGCATCTGATCAATATGTGATCCATGATAACTGTAACATTTTCTACATATAGGTCAAATTAATCACTGCAATAAAATAACTTTGTCTGTTTTTGTCACTTTTACAGTGGATTGCATCAACTCTGTTACATACAGAAGGGAAACTTCAAAGTGAAACACAAATCTGTGGATCTGTGTTTGATTACTCTGCCTGGCTTTCTCAAGGACCAGGATGTGACACAAAAATCTGAATTATGGAACTGAAAGTGAAAGTAGTCAAACTGAATTTTAATAAACCAAAATACAGTTTCAAAGCAAATTAATTCAAATTGAAATCATTAAATTCAGTTTCAATTTAGTAAAATTCATTTTCAAACCAATGCATTCAATTTCAAATTATGCACATTCAGATTCAATCTGAGCAATTCAAATTCAATTCCTGCTGGGACAAGATTTATCCCATAAAAAAAATGGTCCAGAGAATAAAACATCGCAACTGGAACTGAGCAAACAGGAAATAACCGAAGTGGGAGAATAAAATAAAATCTTACCAGGTATCTGAAAATGCCGTTTTGGAAGACATCGAAGCACTGAGACTTTGAACCAATAGTTTCCAGACAGTGGCACACTTCCTGTAATCAGACATACAAGTTAACATTTCTGAGTTCTGGAACTGTGACCTCATGAAGCAGTGTGTGTGAAGATCAAACAAAAGGTCTTCCTTACAAATTATTTTAAACAGTCAGTAAATTGGTGTTTTTTAAATAAGCAAAAACTGCATAGAAAAAAATAACTTTGCATAAAAAGTAAGGAAATTAGTGTTTGGTAGATTATTTGTTGTAACAATGACTCTGGGTGATTAATCTTAGGATTGGCAGCACCTGGTGGTACCAGAAGCTCAAAACTGGGTCAACAGAGAAGATTAGGCTAATTTTTCATGTGCACAACCCACATCCTCAGCTCTGCTGCTCATCCCACAAATGCATGTTCCTTACAAATGTGGCACCATTTCAAAGGGAAATTAACAGCCTTTCCAACAGTACAAGATTTATTGCCAAGAAGCTTTAAGGCCCTGTCACACTAGACAACTTATGCCAACTTATGAAACATTTTTATGTCTAAATTGTTAATAAAAGTGAAATATCTGATCAATTTGTTCAAATTACATTATGTGCACGCCAAAAAGAAGCTTCCTGTTGATTTTTTCAATTCCACCTTCGATGTAGACGTCTTTACAATGTTTATAAGTTGTCTAAAACATCACAGTGTGACAGGGCCTTTACAAAGAAATAATCAGCCAAACACAAATGTCAGTACTTTTTGTGCTAAATTTATACGCCATGTAATTGTAATGCAACCGAAACTTGACCTTTTCAATTCTCCAATCATCTTTTTTCTTTCATATACAGATGCACACTTATTGATCTAAGAAAATAATTTATTTAAAAAAAAGCTTTTCAGAAACTAAAAGAAGAAATGAATACTTTCTGCTTGAATTAATAAATTATTTCTCACTGGAGCTAAGATGACACCAAGTCCAGGCTTCAGAAAAAAAAAATAAAAACTTTTTAAAAGTGAAAAATAAATCCACTTTTCTTCATTAACTCGAAATCCAAATCAGATTTATTGCCTTTTATCAAATTGACGCGTGCGAGTTTGCACCTGTTGGCATTCTCTCCATCATTAAAAACAATTCCATCTCATTAGCAGAACCAGAGCTGACACGGTCCGTTCCTTAATGCCCCCCACCCTCACTGTTGCCCCCCACCCCCTCCCTTCGCCTGTGATTGACTCAGACAGGGAGATGAGAGAAGCAGGATCTGAGGCTTTAATTGAAGGCCTGAATTAGTGATTATAAGACACACACACACACACACACACACACATACACCTCAACTAGCTCACACACACCTGCCCCGGGGCATAGTTAGGTTAACGGTAATTTCTGTGCAGAAATGTCAACTCTCCCATCATGCCACGGGCTCTCATTAGCATTTGTGCATATCCACCGTGCCCGATAACCACGCATCTCCAACCTGCACAACACGATAAAGCTTCCCCTCTCAGCAGGAGTGCCACGATAAAGCTTCCCCCCTCTGAGCTCTATGAGGAACAGGTGGGGGGGGGCAGTGAAAGACCACAGGTGTGTCCAGAATATCAACTCGCCACGTTTCAGAACAATAACCGTGTTTCCATCAAGGCTTTTTGATGTGCATTTAGAAGTGTTGCATTAAAAATGCGAAAAAAAGTCAGATGGAAACAGCAAAATTCGAAAAAAAAATCCTCAATTCGCTAAAAAGTTTTTACGCTCGCTTGAGGTGGTTTTTGGATGATTCACAAAGTAGTTAATGCGCAAAACAGGAGATGGAAACACATTTTCCGAATAAATTCTGACGTAGCGCATATTTACCTCACGTGACGTTCAGCTGTTTCCGCTTTCCTGCCTCGTCCCGGATGTTATCACAAAGGTGCGAAAACATTGCGTTTATTTCCCTACGTTTCCTGGCAGCATTAAACATAGCCTGTACTAGCTGAATAGATAGAATAATTACAACTTGCCCAATAGCAAGGCATTCACGAAAAAATTGCACCATTGTCCCGAGATGATTAGCCTCTGCTAGTTAGCAAGTTTCACTTCCTGTTTACTGCCGCAAAGCTTGTCATCGACGTCTGACGTAATCACGCGTTGCGTAGCCTCGTCTGACGTAATTACGCGTTGCGTAGCCTCGTCTGACGTAATCACGTTGCGTAGCCTTGTCTGACATAGTCATGCGTTGTGTAGCCTCGTCTGACGTAATCACGTTGCGTAGCCTTGTCTGACATAGTCATGCGTTGTGTAGCCTCGTCTGACGTAATCACGTTGCGTAGCCTTGTCTGACATAGTCATGCGTTGTGTAGCCTCGTCTGACGTAATCACGTT